CTGGGAATTTCCTGCCTTAGCAGTTCACTTCCGTGTGTAGGCAGGAACCAAACAAATATCAAGATAACACTCTTCGCTATAATCAAAAGCAGATTAGGAGACTCTAAGTCACTCAAAATGGTGCAACAATTTGAAACTACCTCTGGCTTAAACATTTAAAAGTTCATACAACATTAATAAATTTTAGATGGGGTGTTAGCCTACAATTTTCATATATCTAACACAATAGTACACGTGGAAGGGGCAAGGAAGGTATCAGCCTGCAGGCCTCCCCGATGAACAGTGGCAGGTCACTCCAGGCAGCACACCTTTCTCAAGTGCTCCCACAAGACCTGTCCCCAGCCTCATGCCATGATGTTTTCTCACTTTGCTGTGCACACTCCTGGCCTAATAAACTTGCTCAAATGTACCGTGCTCCTCCTTGCCTCATTATCTTCAAATAAACCATTTCCTCTTCCAGAATGCCCTTCCTTCTTCCTGCTTTGCCTGGCTACCCCCCTTTCCCACCTCAGTGAAAAGGTAAAAGTCAACTTCATGGAGATCTATTTCTCTGAGCAGATCTCATCCCTCAGTTCCCAAATCAGATCAGAAGCTTTACTTCCTCATATATTTGTCACAAGTGTGATTAACAATTATTTGCTAATTATTTTAAGTGCAGGTTGTTCCCCTACATGTTTCAAGAAGGCAGGGCAAGAACAGTTTCTGTCTTCTTTTGCTGTATTTTCAGTATCTGGGCCAGCGCGTGGCACTCAACAAATACTTGTTAAAATAATAAATCTAATCTAATCTAACTGATAAAATGTCATGTAATTCTTTAACCCTTTGACACACTTCATGATTCTTATGATCCACATTTTACAGATGAGGAAAGTAAGACTCAGAGAAGAGAAACTTACTCAAGTCACACAGCGAGCAGGAAATAGCAGAACCCAGACGTACGCAAAGAATGTTCCGACTCTGAAGCTGGAACTCTAAGATATTTTGTTAATCAAATGAGTGCACCGCCCACAGAGGGCAATCTAGCAAGTCTATGTCCTCAACAGAGCTGCATGACGAGAAGAGTAAGATCAAAACTGATGTCCTCTCCCAACACAGGACTGATTTATTACATGGTTTTCCTGCTTGGGAACCCGAGTCGCTTACACTGATTTCCACACATGGACCCAACAGTTTAAGTGCCTTCTTGAGTATAAATAAGAGAGATTGAAAGTAAAAAGACACTTACCATAATTCCAGTAAGCAAACAGACTCCTTTCCCACAGTATGTGTTAGGTACCATGTCACCATAACCAATGGAGAGAAAAGTTATTGATATCAACCACATTGCTCCAAGGAAGTTGCTAGTAACATCCTGTTGATCATGGTACCTGAAAAATAGCAAACAGAGCCAGGCCTTTATAATTAATCTACATTGTGGTTGCTAAGGCCAGTTTGATTCAATGCAATGAATTCACTAAGTATCCTACATAATAAATAGGTAATATGCAAATTGACTGTCACACCATCACACAAAGATGGCCACCCCCATGTGGTCAAAAGTTGGCTGCCACAAGATGGCCGGCAGGGGAGGGGAGTTGGGAAGACTGGGCCAGCAGGGGAGGACAGCTAG